TCGCCATATTAGCCTTGCAACTTCGGAAGATGATAATGATGATAATATCAACATCATCATCATTGCCATGACAAAAGGCATGCTAATGATGACGATAATGGTAGTTATAGCAATGATATAATAATGACAATAGTAATAATAATAACGATAATAATGATGACAATAATGATAATAATAATAATACTAACAATAATAATAATAATAATAATAATAGTAGTAGTAATAATGATAATAATAATAATAATGATAACAGTAATGATAATAATAATGATTATAGTAATGATGATAATAGTAATAACATTAATAACAGTAATGGTAATAATAAAAATGATGATCATGAAAATAATGATGATAAGGATAATAAAGATAAAAATGATAATTAGAATAATAATACTAGTAAAGATAATAATAATAGTAACGATAATAATAATAATAATAATAATAATAATAATAATAATAATAATAATAATAATAATAATAATGATTATAGTAATGATGATAATTATGATAACATTAATAACAGTAATGATAATAATAAAAATGATAATCATGAAGATAATGATGATAAGTATAATAAAGACATAAATGATAATTAAAACAACAATACTAGTAATGATAATAATAATAGTAACGATAATAATAATAATGATAATAATAATGATAATAATAATAATAATAATAATAATAATAATAATAATAATAATAATAATAATAATAATGATAATAACAACCTTAATACTGATATTACTACTAATAATGATAATAAAAAATGTTAATGATAAAAATAATAACATGATAATAATAATGATAATAACAATAATAGTAACAGTGATGATAAGGATAAAAATAATAATAGTGATAATGATAGGAATATGATAATAATCATAATAATAATAATATTAACAATAATAATGATAATACTGATAATAATAGTGATAATAATACTGATAATAATAATGATGAAAATAAAAATAGTGATAGTCATAATAGTAATAAAAATAATAACAACAATAGTAATGAAAATAATAATAACAATAACACCAACAATAATGAAAACAATAATAGCACAAACACCAACATTAATAAGAACAATGCCAACAGCAAAATCAATCAACGACACCACAACCCCAACCCCCAAATAGCAAGACTACCTGACGCAGGAGAGGAAGTGTTTCGCAAATGCAAAATCGCCCTTATCGATATCCGCCTGAAGTTTCGCGGGGTCATTTTGCCAGTAGTTGACGACGCTCTGGATCATGCAGTCGTCCTCCTGCGGCGCCAAGGGCTTGATGCACACGTCCCTGAGGGTCACGTTCTCGCCGTCCATGTTTCCCATGAGCTGGGGGGGGGGGGGGGGGGGGGGGGGAGGAAGCGAGAGGGTGACAGGGATTATAATAATGATGATAAGGATGGTGGGGATGATATTAATGATAATAATGATGATAATAGTAATAATAATCATAATAATGATAGTGGTGATGATAATGATAATAATGATAATAATAATAATAATAATGATAATAATAATGATAATGATAATAATAATAATAATAATAATAATAATAATGATAATAATAATAATAACAAAATAATGATAATAATTATAACATTATTAAGTATAATAGAAATAATGATGATAATATTAACAATAATAATAACTATAACAATAATAATGATAATAAAACGCCACATACACTTTCAATTTCGTTCTGCAGCGTCATGACCTCCTGCAGGAACGTCTCGTTGAGCGCGGGCCCGAAGTTGTAGGTCTTGAAAGCGCCCGGAGAAGGCTCCACGGTCACGTTAAACTACGAGAGATCATTCGTTAGCAGACTGACTGAAAGGTGGTAATTACTGAGGAGCAATTAACCGGTGGGATGGTTTGTCAAAGATGTGGTTGGAGTATGAGGAAGAGTGAAAATACGGTTTATTGACTTTGCCTCATCATGAAGAGCAATTAACCGGTGGGGTGGTTTATCAAAGATGTGGCTGACGTATGAGGCAGAGTGAAAAATACGGTTTATTGACTTTGCCTCATCATGAAGAGCAATTAACCGGTGGGGTGGTTTATCAAAGATGTGGCTGAAGTATGAGGCAGAGTGAAAAATACGGTTTATTGACTTCAAGCATCACTTTCTCACCATCTTCACCTCATCGTCGACTACATCACATCCAACACTATACTACCGCCGTCACCTCAATGGCCCGAACGTCACTCTCAACACCATATCATCACCTTCACCTCAGCTATCCGTACATCACTCTCACCACCACATTGCCGCCTTCACCTCCTCATTATCACCACCTCACCACCTTCACCACCACATCACCACCTCCTCATCACCACCACATTCACCACCTTCACCTCATCATCACCTTCACCTCCTCATTATCACCACATTCACCACCACATCACCTCATCATCATCACCTTCACTTCCACATCACCACCACCACCTCACCACCCTCAATTCCACATCGTCACCTACCCAGTCGTAGTTCTTGGCCGTGATGATGACCTGCGTGGTGCGGTAGAAGGGCGCGAAGTGGGAGTCGAAGTAGTCCTTGTCTTTCCTTGACCTCGAGGTCGGCGACGCCCACAGCTCCACGGGGTCAGTGGTCAGCTGGAGGGGGAGGAGGAGGGGGGAGGGTCGTCACTGTTGCTGTGTTAATTAGTTTTTGTCATTGTTATCATTTTTGTTGTTTTTGTTATCATTATTATCGCTATTAATAGAGGGTCATTCCTTAGCTTCAACGATACAAACAAACAAACAAACCAGGCAAAAAAACAACAACAAACACAGCAACTACCACTACCAGAGGATCATGCCTGGGCCTTCAGTGCAACAGAAACAGCACCAACGATGGTTCTCTTACCTGGAGATACATAATGCCAACGCTGAGAAGGGCCACTGGAATCAGGCTGACGAAGATGAAGATAAAGGGGTGCTTGGCTACAACTGAAAGGGGGGGGGGAGGGGGGAAGGGACGAAAAGAAACAAGTCAGTCATATTCCTGAACGGAATTTCATTATACCAAAGACAGAAAGAACGAAAGAAAGAAAGACAGAATGAAAGAGAGAAAGACAGAAAGAAGGAAGGAAAGAAAGAAAGAAAGAAAGACAGAAGGAAAGACAGAAAGATAGAAAGAAAGAAAACGCAGAAAGAAAAAAAGAGAGAAAGAATGAAAAAAAAGAAAGAAAAATCAGGCTGAATATGAATTATTCACTACCTTATTATCCACATATAATCATAATCACATCTAACTTGTAATACGTATGTAAAAAAAAAAATGTATTATTGCAAATGAGCCACGAGGGACAAAGACGAGGACTCACATCTCGCGAACACGGAGAAGGTTCGTTTGATGGACCTTTCCGTCTTCGCCGAGAGCTTTTCGAAGCAGCCGGGGTCGCCCTCGTTGTCAGGTGCCAAGGGAGAGCCTGCGGGTGAGGGCCTGGGTCAGTTTTATTGGTCGTGTCTTTTCTTTGGTCTATTTTCCTGTTTTTTTCTCCTGTCTCTCTTGATATTTCCTGCGTGTTTTTTTTTTATTTTTGTTTTCTTCTTGTTGCTTTTTATCTCTCTTTTTTTTACCACTAACCTACTTATTCTTGGTCCGTCTGTCTCCTTTTTTCCCTCTTTTTATTGTTTCTCCAATATTTCTGTTTCGTCTTCTATCCTTTCTCTCCCTACCTTTCCTTTCACTTTTACTTCCCTTTCCCTCTATTTGTTGCATTTCTTCTCCCTATCTTCCTTCCGTCTTCCTTTCTTCACTTTCCTGTATCTTCCTCTCTCTCTCTGCTCCTCCTTTCCTCTCTTCCTACCTAATTCTACCCCTCTCTCTCCCTCCTCTCCTATCCCTCTTCCTTCTTTACCCTTCTCCTTTCTCATGCCCTATCTCTCCACCTCACTCTCCTTTGCATCCTAAACTTGTTCCCTGTCTATCCCTCAGTTTACCAACTTTCTCCTCTTCCTTCTTCTCTCTATTCCTCCTCTTTCCTTTCCTTCTTTCTCCTATCTTCCTCTCCCCCATCTTCCTCCCCTTCCTCCCCTCCCTCTCTTCCCCCCCCTTCCCCTCCCTCTGCCTCCTCACCTCCGCCCATCCACCTCCTCTCCTCGGTGCAACTGTCCGGCCGTCCCTCCCTCTGCCTTTCTCTTCTTTCTTTGGCTATCCTTCCCTCTTTCTCCTTCCCCTATCTCTCTCTTTTCTCTCTCACTCCCTTCCACCCTCCCCCCCCTCCCGTCCCTTCCCTCCCTTCCCTCTGCCTCCGCAACTCTCTCTTCCTCCTTCTCCCATTCCCAAATCCTCTCCCTCCCTCCTCTTCCTTTACCTTCCTTTGATCGTCCCTCCCTTTCCCTTACCTTCCCGTGACCCTCCCTATCCTTCCTATACCTTCCTTTGGTCCTCCCTCCTCTCCCTTCCCTCCCCCTCCCTCCCCTCCTCCCTTCCCTCCATCCCCTCTCTTCCTCTCCCTCCTCCCCTTCTCTCCCCTCTCTCCCCTCCCTTCTCTCCTCCCTTCCCTCCCCCTCCCTCCCCTCCTCCTCCCTCCCTCCCCTCCCCCCTCCCTCCCCCTCCACCCTCTCCCCGCCCACACGCACTCACCTCCTTGTCCTCCCGGAGAGATCTTGCTCCAGAAACAAGACGCCACGATTATCCCCACGACGCCCACGCAGTAGATGATGATGAGGGAGAAGGAGAGGGCGTCGATACCCCCGACCATGGGCAGGCCGCTGTCTTCGGGCATCTCGGGAAGGGGGGGGCACGAGGACCGGCAGTCGGAGCAGAGGCAGTGCAGCGAGGAGTTCTGCCGGGGGGGGGGGGGGGTGAGGGGAAGGAAGAGGTCAGTGTGTGTGTATCTGTTTGTGCGTGTGTGTGTGTGTGTGTGTGTGTGTGTGTGTGTTTGTTTGTCTGTGTGTGTGTGTGTGTGTCTGTCTGTGTGTGTGTGTATGTTTGTTTGTGTGTCTGTTTGTGTGTGTGTGCTTACGGTTGTGTACCCACATGTCTTTGATTCTTATCTCAGAGCCTAAAAAAAATACATTTGCTGAATCTATATAAAAAGCGCAAACACGAATTTTGCCTACCGAGGTGTTGCACGGCGTGGTGGGGACGTCGAAGGGGTGCATGGTGAGCGTGGCGTTGCCCCAGATGTTGGGCTCGTCCTCCAGGTCCTCGGTCGCCCACACGTACGTGATGTTGAAGGGAGCGAACTCGTTGTTGCCGAAGTAGGAGAACAGCCTGGCGGGGGAGGCGGGGGGGGGGGGGTTAGTGCCACTCCTTTTCGGTTTCTCTTGCTATCTCTTTCTCTCTCTCTCTCTCTCTCTCTCTCTCTCTCTCTCTCTCTCTCTCTCTCTCTCTCTCAATCTATCTATCTCTATCTATCTATCTATATCTATCTATATCTATCTATATCTATATATATATCTATCTTTATCTATCTTTATCTATCTATATCTATCTTTATCTATCCATATCTATATATATCTATCCATATCTATCTATCTATTTATCTATCTATATCTATCTATCTCTATCTATCTATCTATATCTATTTATCTATCTATATCTATCTATCTATCTATATCTTTCTATTTATTTTTCTGTCTCTCTCTGTCTATCTATCCCTATATATTTCTATATACCCCCCTCTCTCTCTCTGTCTCTCTCCACCTCCCTCAACCTTCCCTTCCCTCCTCGCTCCCTTCCCCTCTCTCTCCCTTCCCTCCTCGCTCTCTTCCCTCCTCGCTCCATTCCCTCCTCGCTCCCTTCCCTCCTCTCTCCCTTCCTTCCTCGCTCCCTTCCCTCCTCGCTCTCTTCCCTCCTCGCTCTCTTCCCTCCTCGCTCCCTTCCCTCCTCGCTCCCTTCCCCTCTCTCTCCCTTCCCTCCTCTCTCCCTTCCCTCCTTGTTCCCTTCCCTCCTCGCTCCCTTCCCTCCTCTCTCCCTTCCCTCCTTTCTCCCTTCCCCTCTCTCTCCCTTCCCTCCTCTCTCCCTTCCCTCCTCGCTCCCTTCCCCTCTCTCTCCCTTCCCTCCTTGCTCCCTTCCCTCCTTGTTCCCTTCCCTCCTCGCTCCCTTCCCTCCTCTCTCCCTTCCCCTCTCTCTCCCTTCCCTCCTCGCTCCTTTCCCTCCTCGCTCCCTTCCCTCCTCGCTGCCTTCCCTCCTCGCTCCCTTCCCCACTCCCTCCCTTCCCTCCTCGCTCCCTTCCCTCAACCCCCCCTTCCCCTCTCTCTCCCTTCCCCTCTCTCTCCCTTCCCTCCTCTCTCCCTTCCCTCCTCGCTCCCTTCCCTCCTCTCTCCCTTCCCTCCTCTCTCCCTTCCCTCCTCTCTCCCTTCCCTCCTCTCTCCCTTCCCTCCTCTCTCCCTTCCCTCCTCTCTCCCTCCCTTCCCCTTTGCCCTCACTTTTCAGGCGTGCAGTCCCTCCCGGCGTTGCCACAGAGGATCTCCAGGGCGGGCATGTTGACCTCCGGCGAATACACGTTCTTGCAGGAGTCGAAGGTATCGTTCGTGTACTGCGGGTGGATGATGAAGTCGGTGGAGAAGATGGAGGTGAAGTTCTCCGCTGGAAGGGACGGAGGGGGGATAAGAGAGGGAGACAGAGAGAAAGAGGGAGAGAGAGAGAGAGAGAGAGAGAGAGAGAGAGAGAGAGAGAGAGAGAGAGAGAGAGAGAGAGAGAGAGAGAGAGAGAGGGAGGGAGAGAGAGAGAGGGAGGGAGGGAGGAGAGAGAGAGAGTGGGAGTGAGGGAGGGAGGGAGAAAGAAAGAGAGAGAGAGAGAGAGAGAGAGAGAGAGAGAGAGAGAGAGAGAGAGAGAGAGAGGGAGAGAGAGAGGGAGGGACGGAGGGACGGAGGTAGATTGGTGGGTTGGGTGATAAGAGGGAGAGAGAGGGGGGAGGGAGGAGAGAGAGAGAGAGAGAGAGAGAGAGAGAGAGAGAGAGAGAGAGAGAGAGAGAGAGAGAGAGAGAGAGAGAGAGAGAGGGAGGGACGGAGGGGACGGAGGTAGATTGGTGGGTTGGGTGATAAGAGGGAGAGAGAGGGGGGGGAGGGAGGGAGAGAGAGAGAGAGAGAGAGAGAGAGAGAGAGAGAGAGAGAGAGAGAGAGAGAGAGAGAGAGAGAGAGAGAGAGAGAGAGAGAGAGAGAGAGAGAGAGAGAGAGAGAGAGAGAGAGAGAGAGAAAGAGAGAGAGAGAGAGAGAGAGAGAGAGAGAGAGAGAGAGAGAGAGAGAGATAGAGAGACGGAGGGAGGAGGTAGGTTGGTGGATTGGTTGATAGGGAGAGAGAGAGGGGATAAGAGGGGGGGGAGGGAAGGAAGGGGAGAGAATAAGAGAGAGAGAGAGGGGGGGAGGGAAGGAGAGAGAATAAGAGAAAGAGAGAAAGAGAAGAAGTAGAAGAAGAAAAAAAAAGAAGAAAGAGAAGAAAGCAGGAGAAGAAAAATAAAGTACGAAGAAAACATAAACATTAATGGTTAAAGACAAATGACCTATGCTTACTAAGCGGAAAAAAAAACTAAAACAATCATAAGAATCAATATAATATCAAATCTCAAAAAAGGAATCCTGTTTTTTTTCCATTCCCAAAATGAAGACAATCACTTCAAACTTCCCTCCAGCTGTACGTATTTCAACCAACACTCACTCTCGTAAATCTCGGTGGGCCTGAGGAAGTTCGAGTGCCTCGGGTGGCAGGTGAAGTAGCAGAAGTTCTTCTTGATGTTGTTCATGCAGGCGGGGCAGCGGCTGACGAAGGTGTCCAGCCGGGCGAAGTTGGTCGTCATGTCCAGGATGTTGTCGGCGCCGCAGCAGGTGCTGATGCTGCCGTCCTCCGCGGCTGAGAGTGGAAGGGGGAGGGGGAAGCGTGATTTGGGGGTCTCGTACGCTTTGTCTCTGTCTGTCTCTCTTGCTCTCTCTCTGTCTCTCACTCTCTCTCTCTCTCTTTCTTTCTCTCTCTCTCTCTCTCTCTCTTATTTTCTCTCCTTCCCTCCCTCTCCCCCTCTCTCTCATACTCTCTCTCTCTCTCTCTCTCTCTCTCTCTCTCTCTCTCTCTCTCTCTCTCTCTCTCTCTCTCTCTCTCTCTCTCTCTCTATCTCTCTCCCACCTCTCCCCTTCCCTCCTTTCCCTTTCCCTCTCCCCTCCCCTTCCCTCCTTTCCCTGCCCTGCCCTCCCCTCCCCTCCTTTCCCTTACCCACCTCTCCCCTCCCCTCCATTCCCTTTCCCTCTCCCCTCCCCTTCCCTCCGTCCACATGCCCAAACTCACTGATCTCCTCCAGAAATTCTGGGCAGTGGTTCCTCAGTCCTTCTAAGGCAATCTCGTCCTCCAGAAGCTTCGCGGGCCCGTCGTAAGCGCAGTTGAGGTACATGGTCGTATCCTTCTGCGGGTTCCGGTCGCACATGCCATACCAGATACAGTGGCCTTCCTTTGGGATCTCGGCCTGCAAGGAAGGGGGAGAGGGGGTGTTTAGGAGGCGTGGGAAGAAGGGAGGGGGGGGATTAGGAGGGGTTTTTCATTACTATTATTATTTCATTATTTTATTATTTTATTATATTTTGTTGTCCTAGGAAAGTATTAGGGGAATAGATGTTTACGGTGGAAAGGCAAGTCTTACGTTTGTTTTTTAAAAAGAATAAAAAATATATATATATTTTTTTGTGAGTGCGCCTGGGTTGTTTCGTATGTTAGTAATGAGTTCGTTACGTTGTTACATTCTTGGTCGAAGAAGAGGGACTGTGACCAATCTTCCGTGTATACGTCATTATCATTATCATTTTTCTTTTTTTATTTCTATTATTAACTTTTTTTATATTTCTATTATTATCATTTTATTTTCTTATTCATTAATTTTCATTTATTTTCTGTTTCATTAATTTTCATTTATTTTCTGTTTCATATCTTTTGACTTGGTTTCCTTTCATTGTTGATGTTAGCGAGTTATCTTTCTCCTTTTTTTTTGGGGGGGGGGGCAGGGGTTATAGGCCGATGAGGATAAATCAGTATCGTATTTGGAGTTCAGAATGTGTGACAATATATTGCGGATCAAATCCCTTTGTTGAATAGATATACTGGATTTTAGCATTCTTGTCAAAAACATTATTTATTGATTTTATTATCCTTTTATTCTTCTTCTTATTATTATTATTATTATCATATTGCCATTATTATTACTATTATTTCTTAGCAGTAGTAGTAGTAGCAGACGTATCATCATTATTATCATTTTTATTATTATTTTTATTATTATCATATCATTATTATTATAATCACAATCATTATGTGTGTGTATGTGTGTTATTGTGCCAAGGTTATTCGTATCAGAACAAAAAAGGACTTTAGATCGTTATCATTCATGGCCGTTGTCCGTTTCTTCGTCAATCTCTCTCTCTCTCTCTCTCTCTCTCTCTCTCTCCTCTCTCTCTCTCTCTCTCTCTCATCCTCTCTCTCTCTCTCATCTCTCTCTCTCTCTCTCTCATCTCTCTCTCTCTGCGTCTCTCTCTCTCTCTCATCTCTCATCTCTCTCTCTCTCATCTCTCTCTACTCTCTCTCTCTCTCTCTCTCTCTCATCTCTCTCTCTCTCTCTCGTCTTCTCTCTCTCATCTCTCTCTCTCAGTCTCTCTTCTCTCTCTCTCTTCTCTCTCTCTCTCTCAATCTCTCTCTCTCTCTCTCTCTTCTCATCTCTCTCTCTCCTCTCTCTCTCTCTCTCTCTCAATCTCTCTCTCTCTCTCTCTCTCTCTCTCTCTCTCTCTCTCTTTCAATCTCTCTCTCTCTTCTCTCTCTCTCTTCTCTCTCTCTCTCTCTCTCTCTCTCTCTTCTCTCTCTCCATCTCTCGCTCTCTTTCTCTCTCTCTTCTCTCTTCCTTCTCAAGCTCTCCTTCTAATCCTCTCTCTCTCTCTCTCTCTCTCTCTCCTCTCTCTTCTCTCTCTTCTCTCTACTCTCAATCTCTCTCTCTCTCTCCGCTCTCTCTCTCTCTATCTTTCTCTCTTCATCGCTCTCTATCTCAACTTTCTCTCTCTCAATCTCTCTCC